TTTTTTTCTGAAAAATTCTCATCAAAATGCTTTTGTACGCTTTTAAACAATATAATGAGCTGCCGTTGGAATAATTTTTACAGCTTTCGGACGAGAGGCTTAGAAATGACTTCAGTCTGAAGTTAGTTGCAGTTTTTTCATCTCACCCTGTATATTCTAGTAAAAAAGGTACATACAAGTTAATATAGAATAATATTTTTAAACAAATTCAACTAATTGAGATAATATTCTTTGAATTGTTATCGCCAAGACGCTCCTCATTGCAAATATTCTGGTTTATTAAAAATCACAATTTGTTGAACGCCATCTCAGAACATTAATGTACAATCACTTCGGCTGGAAAATGTGCTCAGCTCCCATTACCTAATATTGAGCTAATCAATTTTTGAAATACGTAACATTTACAAACAATCCCACCTCCCGAAATATGTAATTAAAAAATTTTTGTTTTATTTACTGTATTGAACTCGAAATCTAAAGCTGTGTAGCTAAAACACTGTACTGCGCAACGGCTTCCACAATAAGGAGTTGTTTCAAGAATTAAAGCAACAAATTTGACGACGCCGCATCTCGAACTCACAACCTTCGACTTTGCAGTCGGACGAGTACACTCTCTGACGACGTTGCTCATTACTTGGTAATGGGGAAGTAAGTTCTGTTCCTATGTAGTTTTCCAAGGAAAACCCCATTTTTCCAATATACTGGTAACAAACAAGGTAGTTTATTAACATCACCGTATATTGAGTTATTTTCCTAACTCTTAATGGGAAGTCACAAGATTTTTAAGATATTTTAAGTTTTACGTTAAACATTTTCCAGAGATATTTAAAGAAACGTTTAATTATGAAATAGCCGAAAGAAAAAATTGCCAATTTCATTTCCAAGCTTTTTATTAATGCCATACATGAATGTGTCCAATAAAAATGCATTTAATGAGTGACGTTGTAAGTGCTAAGTGCAACATGTCGCATGCAATAAAAAATGACATAAATGATGCACATCGACGATTCCGCTAAAAATATAAGGCTGGAAACCACTTTACGAAATCAAACTGGACTGAATGATGAATACATATTTTGTTTATTTTTGGCACTAACTAATGACGAGTAAATCATTCACTTGGACGCAACAGATCAGCTGCAGCAGGTTGTTCGTCAAGTCTGACGATTGTTGCAAGAATTGCCAGCCGTCAATCTGGCAGTCGAACATCAACTTGCCAAATTATTAGAGTTATATTTGTTGTTAGATTTCGTTCAATTTGGTAATGGTTCCAAAAATACATATTTCGCCAGGCGGGAAGGGGGCAAGTATACCGTCTAATTATCTGCCAAAAAGTTGTCGCAGTTAAAATAGTTTTTGCCTCTAAAATTGATGAACATCTCCATAATCCATTTGAACATTAGCAATTTTTTTAAGGAATTGTATTGCTTGTTGTCCATTTATATTTAAGCAACGAAATTTAACAAGAGCAGTCAACTGACAACTAGTCTTGGGTTAACTTAATTTAGTTTGGTAGGAGGGTATATTTGGTTAAAGTGGATAATAAGATCATTATTAAAGTTTGTGTCAATAATGCAGGAATTCGCCAAAAAAAAAATTATATATTTCACCTAGCCTGTCTGCCAGTCTGTCCGTCTATTATAATTACGATAGTGTCCCAACGGCATATGATAGTAAGCTAATATTTTGATTGCAGTTGCCTTTTGTTTGCTGGCAGGTCAAATTCGAATATATGAGCCAAAGTTTTGTTATAGACCCATATAATTGTAATTTCAGATAGACTGTATTTTGGTGACTTTAGTCACAGTTTAAAGCGGAATAGCTTTAAATTCTTTGCTTTCATTTGCCATATTTACGTTATATTTTTTGCAGGGTATGTACTAAAGAGAATTTTTTTGAGGTATAAGTCATCGATATTAAAATTTTGATCCAAATTCAGTGGATTAACACATTTATATGTAAACGAAAGTAAAATATCTTAGTTATTCTGCTTATAAGTCAAGAACCGCTAGTCTGATTCCAAAAATTCTCATCAATTCGGAACGGTCTTCTGCCAGAATTTTTTCAATTTTTGTCATATTTTTTATTGCATGCGATTTTTTCAATTTGACTTACAATTTTGAAATGTATACAGGGTGAGATAAAAATACTGCAACCAACTTCCGACTTCTGTCATTTTTAAGCTATTCGTCCGTCCTGTGACAGCTCATTATATTGTTTACAGGCGTACAAAAGCATTTTGGTGAGAATTTTCCAGAAAAAAGTCTGTCGTGATGGAATTCAAGCGTGATAGTGTGATTTCTTTATATTTGGCTGGAAAACCACAAGTGGCTATCGTTAGAGCACTCCAGCATTTGAATGTGAATAAATCTTTCGAGTCTCGTACCATCGGTAACGTGATACTGGTAGCGTAGCCCGACGTCAAGGAAGTGGACGGAAGAAAACAGCAACATCAGCAGAAATAATTCGAAAAGAAGCGACTTGATCGAAAACCGCGTCGCAGTGGCCGAATAATGGCTCGCAATATTCCATTCGGCAAATATTGAAAAATGAGCTCGGGGTAAAGCCATTGTCATTGAAATTCAAAAAAGTGCAAGAACTTACACCGGAACAGAAAGAAAATAGACTCAAAAGAGCTAAAGAGGTGCTTCGCTTGGCCGAAAGTGGTGAACTGCCGAATTTGGTTTTCTCCGATGAGAAAACATTCGTTGTCCAGCATTTTGTAAACAAACAAACTGATCGTGTTTACTTGCCAAAGAGGTCAGCTGCAAATGTGGACCTTCGGTTGGCCACCAGAACTCAAGCGCCGGCCATGGTGATGGTGTGGGCCGCCATAACAGCCGATGGTCGTTCTCCGCTCGTATGAATCGACCGTGGCATCAGAATAAATGTCGAATATTATAGTGAAAATATTCTGGAGTGTGTATTAAATCCTTGGGCACGCAAACATTTTGCCCGCAGACCTTGGACATTTCAACAGGACTTAGCACCATCGCACTCAGCACGCGCCACCCAAGAATGGTTACAAAATGAGGTTCCACGCTTCATTTCTAGCGCACAATGGCCACCAAAATCTCCGGATACGAATCCGTTAGACTATTGTGTCTGGATTATTTTGGACAGTCGATCACCTCAAGCAAGCTCTTCGACGGTAATGGGCCAAAACACCGCAGAGCAACTTTCTGGCAGCGTGTGATAGTTTCATTGGGCGTTTGAAAACCATATTTCATGCCAAAGGTGATCAATTCGAAGGAATCTAAACTTATTCTAAAATTTGATGCTATTTGCGACATATTTTGCTTTTACTCAATAAAATGTAAAAAAAAAGAAAAAATTATGGCGTTTGACTTTGTTGCAGTTATTTTATCTAACCCACGTTTTGGTATAGCCCCCATATAACGGCACTTCCCGATATTCAATATTTTGATAAAAATTGGTATTTGCAGTTCAAATTGGGCTCTAGTCCAATGGCAGAACAATGAATATTTATTTCAACGTATTCCTTTTGTTTCAAATTTGATATTTTAGAAGATTTGATAGATGACAATCCTTGAAGTATAAAATTGTTCATAGAGGTTCCCGTTTTGGTATGGCCCCATATAACGGCCTCACTCACTTTATGGCTTTTTGATAAATTTAACTGCATTATGCAAACGGTGAAACACGCTTGAATTCATATAAAAATGATTCCTTTACCTAAGGTGGCCCGGCCGAACTTAATATTTTGTTACTTGATTATTGTTTTATTTCAATCAATCAATCAATCAATCAATTTCATTGATCATCTTCTTAAAAAAAAAAAAAAATAATAATAATAATAATAATAATAATTCTATTCTGCATTTTTTTCACCCAACTTCACGTATATTCTCACTAAATACCTAACTAAAATAAACATAGATTAAGTCCGAGCTTGCTCTATATCACTATATAATTATCAATACCAACCATCCTACACACATTACAAACTATTTTGATGATTTTAGCAATACTAATCACCGCAATTGCTTAAAATTTGGTATTTGAAGTTCGTAATGGACACTACAGCCTGTGACAGAAAATTGTCTGTGCAGGTCCACTTCTACGTATAACCCCCATATAACTGTACCTCCCTATATTCGGTATTTTGATGATTTTAGCGACACTATTTTCCGGAATTATTTCACGTTTTGTATTTGAAGTTCGTAATGGGTACTACAGCATATTCCAGAAAATTGTCTGTGCAGGTCCATGTCTTCGTATAGCCCCCATATAACTGTACCCCCCAGATATTCGATATTTTGATGATTTTAGTGATATAGAATTGTTTCAAATTTCGCATTTGAAGTTAATCATGAATACTACAGCCTATGACAGAAAATTGTCTGTGCAGGTCTATGTCTTCGTATGGGCCCCATATAACGGTACCCCCCCGATATTCGGTAATTTGATGATTTTAGCGACATTATTTACCGGAATTATTTCACGTTTTGTATTTGAAGTTCGTAATGGATACTACAGTCTATGCCAGAAAATTGTCTGTGCAGGTCCACGTTTTAAACCTCCCAACGTAGCTCCCTATATTCTGTATTTCGATGATTTTAGCTACATTATAAACAAATTTTTTTTTTAAGTTTCCCATTTCAATATTGTGATAGCTTATGACAAAAGTTGCCTATGCAGATCCACATCCTCGTATAGACCCTAATATATGCCTACATTCAGTATTTTTAAGATTTTAACAGAATTCTTAATGTATTTTATTTTTGAAAATTACCAAGTTTGTTCCATATGGTGGAGGGTATTCAAAGTTCGTCCCGGCCGAACTTACAGTTTTTTTTACTTGTTTTTAATTAAATGTGGCAAGTTCTTAATAACGAATACTTATAGACGCATTTTAAAAAGTATTACTTTCCAAAAGTATTCAAAGTTCAGTCCGGCGGAACGAGACACCTTTTTCACTTGATTTTAATTTAAAAAATATTAAAAATGCATTTAACGTTTTTCAAAGTTTTTTTCTTTTATCTTTTGTTATATATCTGAAATACAATTATTTCCAATGCAAATACAATAAAAGCAATTAACATAATAACAAAATAAATTAAGAATATTACATTCATATCCTTCGTCCTCATTAAGGATACACTATCACTTGTTGTTAAATTAACACGGATTTTATTGCCCGTCTTCACAACATCAGCATTTGAAATCGATTGCCAGTAATACAATAATCCCGATTGCCATACTTCCAAAATTGCAAAATTGATGGCCTGACGAAAATACGAATTCGGCGAGAGGGGAATGTGTAACAACATCAATGGGTTAGGGCACATTTCCTTGGACAAACGAAACATTTTCACACCCTTGACCTGTTGGAAACTTTTGTAGTGAAACATTTTTGCTGCAAAGGTGAAATAGCAATAGCGGTTATCAAAGGTGTCGCGTAACTTATAGAAATCGGTAATATTTTCCATTATGTAGAATTTCGATCGAGACAGATTTGAGGAAATATTTGAGACATAGTTGAAATAATCAAATTCGACTTGAGCAATGGCTACTTTTAGGGGTGAGTTTTCCAAATATTCATAGTTGCGTATTGGCTTGGAAGGCGAGGGATGCGTTATGTAGGAGTATATTTTCGAATTGAATAATGAGCTGTTGGTTAGACCGCATACGAATAGGGTGATGTATAAAAGGTTGAGGGAGAACCGTTTCTGGGACTTATAGTTTACGGAGAATCCAAAAACTCCTTGAATGACATCGGTGTTGATAACATATATTGGCCAGTTATAAGACAAGGATGCCGACGTCTGAACAATTCTTTGGCAATAGAAAATCACTGAAAATGCAGCTATTAATCCGAACATTATTGCCATAAAAAAAGATTCCATAAGATGCAGCAGAATATAACGAAATTCCCAAGGATGTTCAACAGGCAATAGCAAACATGCATAGGATAATTCAAATGGATAGGAAAATTCTCGAAAATCATCTCTCCAAAACACAGCCGAGGATGTTGCCGGTACATCTAATGAATAGTTACGCATAAGTGGTAGAAATTTCCGATAATTAATTGCCACACTATGGGGCACATCGTAGGGAAAGGTCAAGGTGGCATTCCATTTCTCGGCCAAAGATGTGACAAAACGACCCAATTGACCGGCCAAACGACGTTTGCCCTCGGCATCGTAATATTCAATAGCTTGGGGTATAGTATGCTCCACCAAAGTACGGAGGGGGTATCCTTGCATATTTTGTATTCTTTGGGGAAATATTACTTGATCCTGTACCGGATTAAAAACATGCTCTTCTAGTTTGCTCGGAGAAAATAACCCATAAAGATAATACACTCCAGTCAGGGGGAAATCTTCGAAACACACCATGACATTTAACATTTGCAGTTTCGTAGAGAATTCATAGAAATTATTGAGCTCATTGTGTGTACCCCTTCCCATAACTTGTACGATGACCCTTGTATATCTCATGTGATCCAGAGCCGAAGCCAAATCACTGAACTCCGTCCTATTCTGCAAGGAATGCAAACAAATCCAAGCCACAACTTCGTTATTGAATTTTTCAGATATTTTCATATTTACTTTGGAACTTATTCTAATTGCGGGAATTTCCATCGTCTGCAGAGTATCCAAAATATGAAAGCATCCAAATTTCCAATTTGTTTCCTCACCATACAACAGCAATGACTCATAACGTTTATCTTTCATTAGTTTCACGAAGAGTTTTCCATAAATTGTTGTAGAATTTTTCTTTAGTTCATCGGAAAGCCTTAAAATCTTACAGCCACATAAATTTAAGCCAATTAAAAGGATCAACAATGTCTGTCTCATTTCTGGGTTGTGTATTTACTGTCCTGTCATTTTTAACGTTAACCTGACATTAGCCAGGGCTAAGTGGCCAAAGATAGATTATCCATTTTATTTACGATGACATGTCGTGACAGATTGACATTCTCCATTTATTTGCCGTTCCAACGGGATGGTCATAAAGCTACGTGCACACAAACATACATATTCAATGTATTTTCCAAAAATTGAATTTTCTAATTGATTGGAGTATGTCATTAAAAACTAATTTATTATTTTATTTATCTATTAATTTGAAGTGTAGTCCCTAATCAGTCATAGAAGTAAGGATATTCCGAAAAGGGTGTACTGTATTAGTGTAATAAGTTTTGTACAACTTTTTTGGGAATTTGAAATTAGAGTGAAATCCTTAAAAATACAATTCTAGATTAGAACATTAAGAAATGTGAAGGACATTAAGAAATGTGAAGGAAGGAAGAAATTATGTTTACACAATTTTAATACCCTACTTTATACATAGTATTGAGGACCTTTTAGACCCTCCATAGAATGATAAGCTTAAAATTCGAAGGAAATTTGGTTCTGTCCGACCGTCGACTTATGATAGGAAGCCAAAAATTTTGTACAAAACATTTTTTTGCTGCAGACAAATCAAAGTCGAAGATAAGATATATCGATACACGATAACGTATAGAACCTCAGCCATACGGATGAGGGAGGGTATACATCATTTAATGCGACAAAAACGTACCTCATCGAAATAACCCTATGTCTCCTGTGGTGTCCGTCCCCAAAACTTTTCACATAAACTAATTTACCCTATAGAACAAGAAACATTTATTTAATTTTGTGCCAACCTTGCAAATCCTAGATTTTTAACCGTGATAGGATCAAATTGGCAACATCTACCCACTCCCTACCCCCACAAAGGGTTAGCATTTTGAATAACTATCACTCATATAAAGTGTGAAATAAGAATCCGATGGTCTTTAAATTTCGCACATCTCAATTTTTTTTTACCCACACAATACCTAGTTTGAACCAGTAAGGAAAAGTCGGGCAGAGACGACTATATGATACCATACACCACTATGCATATTTAGCAGAGCTCCCGTAACAAAAGCTGGTAGCTATAGCTACATCTGAACCGATTCTCACCGAATTTGATGTACTTGCTTCTAGACTGAATTCGGTCGGATGTGCCAAAATTCAAGTCATTTGGACTGATATTGGCCATTTGGTGCACAATTAACCCGAAATCAGTTGAAGATATATATGGGAGTTATATTCTAATCTAAACCGATCTTGATAACATTTGGCAAAGGCATTTCTGGGCTGTATCTGATGTCTGGAACCAAATATCATTGTTGTCGAATGCATATTATGAATGTGAGGGACTTAACCACCAAATCGGGTGAAACATATATGGGAGCTATAGCTATATTTGAACCGATTTTCTCCAAATTTTATTTACTTGCTTCTGGACTCAATTCGGTCGGATGTACCAAAATACAGGTCTGTTGAAACCAATCGACACGGAATGTTTCATGAGAGGAGAATTAAGGACATGGAAGAAGTCTAGCATTTTGGATGACCATTGGATTGTAGTGTTGTAGGGTATCACATGGTCGGTCCCACTCGACTACAACCTTTGCTTACTTGCTTGAACTTGACTTACAATTTTGAATTGTACATTTTCTACGTCCGATCCTCACGAAATTTGGGATTGGGTTAGAGTCAGAGTAAAGCCTATTATTTTTGAAGATGTATATTTAGGGGTTCAAATGGACCAACAAATCCTGATTTTGCAGTCGCTCTACAGGTCATAACTGAAACCAATCGACACGTAATTTAGCATGAGAAGATAGTTAAGGACTGGGAAGAAGTGTAGCAGTTTGGACAACCTTTGGATATATATTTAACTGTAAAATGAACCACATTTTTGGGTCTAATTATTTAGAGTAATTAACAACGCGACGGAGTGCGTAAATATTGGGCAAATGGCCCCGGCCAAAAAGCTAATATCTGGGCAGGGCTCTATGACATAATTTCAAAACGAAATCTTCCAAAATGGATTTGGTCATATGGGGGCTTTCAACATATTGTAGGGTATCATATGGCCGGCCCCGCACGCCTAAAGCCTTAATGACTTGCACTTTTAGATCAATGTTCTATTATTTTTTATGCGTTATGCAATGGAAATAGACATTTCCTTTGATAAAGAATTTTTTTTGTCTTTGACGTCATTCTTCTGAAATACTGCTTTGTTTGAAAATTTAGCACAAACTCACAAAAAGTACGGCTTTAACCCAAAAATGTGGTTTTTAAGATTTGGATTTGTTATGTACCGCCTGCAGTGGTGCTTCAGGTGGGGTTCCATCTAGATCAGGAAAGCAACTCTCAGGGGGTTCTCAACCCTTCAACCTACCTTGACCCTTCGCACCCATTCTCATTTGTGTCAAGGGCCCCTTGAACATGAAGACACGATAAATAATTTTAACATTCAAACATATACATTTATTAACATTGCAACACGACACGAGGAATGTGAGTCAATATTCTGGACGACAAAAATTTTCACACTAGGTATTCGGACAACTCGGGCTATTTTTACTCATCTAAGATAATCTGCCTAATGGAGCTAGATTAGGTAGGGCTAGACATTTCTTTAACCAGTCTAAAAGAAAAACCAGTAAAGAAAGTCTTAAAGTCGGGCGGGGCCGACTTTATGATACCCTACACCACTTTGCTAATTTAGTAGCGCTCCACATAACAATTAAAAGTTTTATATAGAATTCAATAATACACGCTATGATTATAGTTATAATTTAAAGTTCAAAGGACTTAATATGCCGAAGCATTTGTATCTTTTAAATTCGGACTTGTACTGCCCATTTTGTACGCAATTAATTTAAAATCGGGTAAAGATATATATGGGAGTTATATCCAAATCTGAACCGATCTCGATAAAATTTGGCAAAGATATTTCTGAGCTGTAATTGATATATTTCCCTGAATATCGTTGTTACGGAGTGCATATTACAGCGTCAGTGGACAAAAATAACAAATCGGATGAGCAATATATATGGGGGCTATAGCTATATCTGAACCGATTTCGATCAAATTTGGCATACTTATTTTTAGGCCTAATTTGGTTGTATATGCAAATTTCCATACAATTCGGGCTGATATTACACGTTTGGTGCACAATAAAAGGCAAATCGGACGAAGATATATATGGGAGCTATATCTACATTTTTACCGATTATTTCCAATTTCAATAGGGTTCGTCCTTGGGCCAAACAAATGATTTGTGGAAAATTTCATTTGGATCGGCCAATAAATGCGACCTGTACTTTGTTTACAAAAATACGTGGACAGATGGACGGACGGACACACGGACGGACGGGCATGCATAAATCGACTCAGAATGTGATTCTATGCAGATCATCAAAAGGAACTATGGGTCTATCTCGTTTCCTTCTGCCTGTTACAAACAAATGCACAAAGACATAATACCCTGACCACCTTGTTGTGTCGGGTATAAAAATAGGTTTCGTCTAAACCTGTGTTCCTTCACTCACGTCGAACGAGTTTCGTGGTATTAATTTTCCTCACAATATTAATACTTAAATTTAAACATAAACGAGCACTTGTCTTCTAGAGCTTAGGTAAAATGTTATGGCAAATAATATTTTGGAATAGATTTAATACGATCACATTTATTCATATTTTAAAAAAAGCAACAAAATTACTCCTTTGTTGACTCGTTTGAGTGTTAAATTTTTTATATGCATCACATTTTTATCTGAAATATTGCCGATGAAACTATATACATAAAATGCAGGGATTCCGAGGAATATTACTCTAAAAAGTTTAAAAAGGAGGATCATTTCCCCCTCTATTTTGGTTATTTTTCAAAACGCCGATACACGGGTCTTCTGGATTTCCCCTGTTATTATTATTATTAAAATAATGGAATATAAATTATATTTCACTTAAAATTTATTCAATATATTATATTTTAAATAACGAAAAAGTCTCAAACCTTTATAATACCAAAATATCTCCAACACAAAACATATCCCCATTAGTGCCAGCATATAGCCAAAAAGTAACCATAGAAGTTGCATATCTTCCAATTTCATGGGGACAAATGTAAATCTTTGGCTGGTATCTATTAGAGACATCTCTTTCTTTTTTACGGCTTCCCAAAACGCCAACGACTTCCAGTATTCGATAATACCACCTTCGTTAAGGCGCCCTATCATTGCATCGATGGCATTTTTGTACGGTGAATTAAGTTGAAGCGGTATTGTAACACCGACCATTTTTGCAAAGCAAATACCGGACATTCGAAATTTCGGCTTTAGAAAGTAACGCTGCTACTCTTTATATACATTCCAGCGGTCGGAGGGCACAGTATAGGCATATTGGGTATCGAATCCATTGCGACGATGATAAAACTCATCGGCCTCCATACTTTGACACACTGTTTCATATCCACTTAAAAGATATTGAGTCTTTATTAGATCCTCTTCCTCTTTTATGAGGGCAAATTTTAAATTAGCTTTTCTCATATCGTCCAAAGTTAAAATGGGTTTTTGCAGGGTTGGTGTGGCCTTGAACGTTTGTAGGTGCGTAACAAAAGCTGTATTGAATATTGTGCCTTGTAAGAATATTAAAGAATAAAGAAACATACGAATTGTTGCAGGTGTTGGTTCCGTTTTAAATGATTGACCCAATAGGCCATTGAAAACATAGATGTTGAAAAATAAATCAGGAAATGTTAATGATTTCACCCTCTTAATGTTCGATGTCATTCCCAAAAGAACAGACAATGAAATAAGTGAGCATAGTATTAAAATCAAAATCTGTTTATCGAAAGTGATGATATAATATTCATAGGAATTTAAAGGTTGTTCCATGGGCACCATCAAACACCAATCCAAAAAATCATACATCACACTAAAATCAAGATTCATTCCGAATATATCCACCGAAATTTCGGCAAGCATCTCGTATGTTCCATTTTCCAGTAGGTTCTGCAGATGTTTACTAAAATAATAATGTTCAACTCCCAGCATCTTGTTTGGTTTTTGTATGGTGGCATTGTGTTTTCGGGCGAACTCCGTGAAGAAGGAACCCAAATATCCAGACAAATGGATTTGGTTTTCAAACGTTTTTGAAATATAAGCTCGATAGCTCGAATTCACAATTCCAATCTGAAGTGGATATTGGTGCATATTTTTCAACGGATCAGGATAATATTCAAAATCCGCCATATTTTTAATAATCATTTTAAATTTTGGATAAATTTGTGGTAGAAAAATTTCCCTTAACTCCACAAATGATTCCTTGACAACCATCGTATTTAGGGCTTTATTTTCCACGCCAAATTGTAATATATTTCGAATGTAATCATTCCGTTCATGCGGCTTAGCTATTAGTAAAAATTTGCTCAGTGAAATTGTCTTCATTTGTTGCCATAGAAATTTCAACAATTGCTTATCCTTAGCTTCTGTACCGCACAGAGGCACCACAACAAATTTGTAAAAATTGCATTTAATCGGGGTAGTGGTGTTTGTATTTCCTCTGAAATTTATTGTTGGAATTTCCAGATTTTCCATTAATATCTTCCATAAAAAATTCGAATCCAAATCATGCTCATGCCTGCAAAGAATTAGCGAATGGAAATTATTCTGCTTTTTTATGACCTTTGTGAGCTCTGCTAAACTTTTTCCAAAATCACTCTCAAATGTCGACAATTGCACGAATGTCAGCAGGAGTGTAACGTTCAAAGCACTTGACATTTTAACACTGGATTCCGGCGACTCTAGCAATTCGTCTGGTTCAGATTTTTTATTGAATTGATTCGATTTTTGAATGTTTTGTATAATAAGTATATAATCAATAAAAATGCACTAGTGTGGAATATAATTGTTATGTAACACATTGTCGTGAACATTGAATAGAATTTGAATTGTTTGTGTCCTCTACAATTAATGTATATTAAGGAGTACCTATAGACGAAACAACCGACGGAGTTGAATTATATAATTTCTCTCTGGGAATTGGCATTTAGGCGACGTGACGTTTTTATACCCTACACCACATAGTGGTAAGGGTATTATGTATTTCTGCATTTGTTTTGTAACATGGAAAAGGAAGCGAGATAGACCCATACTTACATTTGAGGGTCTACATAGTCGATCTGTGCATGCCAGTCCTTCTGTCAATCCGTCCATCCATCCGCTTGTTCATGTATTCTTCCGAACAAAATGCAGGTTGCATTTATTATCCAATTGAGATGAAATTTTCCAAACAACATTTGTTTAACCCAAGAACGAAACCTATTAAAATTGGTGATAAGCGAATCAGATTTAGATAAAGCTTCCATATATCTTTAACTGATTTCATGTTAATTGTGCAGAAAATGGCCAATATAAGTCCAAATAACATTAATTTTGGCACATCCAACCGAATTCAGTCTAGAAGCAAGCACATCAAAATCGGCTCAGATATAGCTATAGCTCCCATATATATGTGTCATCCGATTTGTTATAGTCCCTCATATTCGTAATATACATTCGAGAATAATGATATTTGGTACCTGATATCAGATACAGCCCAGAAATGCCTTTGCCAAATTTAATCAAGATCGGCTCAGATTTAGATATAGGTCCCATGTATCACCAAATGATCATATCAGTCCAAATGACCTGAATGTTGGCACTTCTGACCGAATAAAGTCTAGAAGCAAATGTGGTGTAAATCGGTTCAGACGTAGCTATAGCTCCCAGTGAAAATCGATTCATAATTGGATATGCCTCCTATATATTAGTTCCTTCTGAAAAATATGCATAGTGGTGTAGGGTTTTTTGGGATTTGGCCTTCGTAATGGCCACCATTTTTCCTATAGTCGCCACATAGGTACCATATTCGATATTTTGATCATTTACATTATTCAACGGAATTGCCTGAAGTTTAATAGTTAAATTTCTTAATGGCACAATGTTTTTCTATAGCCCCCATGTATCGGAACATTAAGATATTCCGTATTTTCATAATTTTACCCATGTTTTTGAACCAACTTGTTTCAAATTAGATATTTGCAATTCCTAATGGATAGAAAAAACTTGCTAAGCAGATTGAAGTTTTGTTATAGTCTCAATATATTGGAATAGAGATATTTGGTATTTTATATAATTGTTTGAACTCCAACTTTAGCCGATCGTTTATTGGTTACGGCCTGGCTTTATTGAACCATACAACATTACATACACATGTCTTATTCTCTAAATCTAGTACTTCGAAGAGAACTTGGGAATAGTTCACATTCCATGAGAATGAGAATGTACGTTGTACAAGATACACATCACATCTTCATGCGAGATCTAATTTTATATACTTGGGATATGCATTGTAGAGTACATATAAGAGGAGGAGAGGAGAAGGTACTAGAGCCGATAAATGTTTTCACCTGACGGCTAAAATACTAATATGTGCAAAGATTGGACATTATTGGATTCCCACTCTTTTAGTTGCAAAGTTATTTAATTTCTTTGTAAAATTTGACCTCTTGTGGGGGAAGTACCATAAAAGTGAGCCGGTTTTGTCTATCTTCGAACCCGATCTAAGTTTTATAGAAATATTACGATGCACCAAATTTAGACGAATTCAGATACTCCGATAACTCAGAGTTATCATACGCACTAGCTTGTAAGACAGGCGGACGATCAAGGCTAAAATCTAACTTAGAGTCTATGAAATCAGAAGCACTAGGGTTTTTCATACAGGGTGAGATGAAAAATCTGCAACCAACTTCAGACTGCTGTCATTTCAAAGCCACTCGTCCGACAGCTGTTAAAATTATTCTAGTGACATCTCATTATATTGTTTACAAGCGTACAAAAGCATTTTGGTGAGAATTTACCAGAAAAAAGTTATTCTTGATGGAATTCAAACGTGATAGTTTGATTTCTTTATATTTGGCTGGAAAACCACAAGTGGCTATCGTTAGAGCACTCCAGAATTTAAATGAGAATAAATCTTTTGTGTCTCGTACTATCGCTCGTTATCGTGATACTGGTACCGTAGCCCTACGTTAAGAAAGTGGACAGAAGAAACCAGCAACATCAGCAGAAATGGTTCGAAAAGTAAAGAAGCGACCTGATCGAAACCCGCGTCGCAGTGGCCAAAAAATGGCTCGTGAGCTAAACATATCACAATATTCCAATAGGAAAATAGTGAAAAATTAGCTCGGGGTAAAGCCATTGAAATTCCAAAACGTGCAAGAACTTACACCGCAGAAAGAAAATAGACTCAAAAGAGCTAAGGAGTTGCTTCGCTTGGCCAAAAGTGGTGAACTGCCGAATTTGGTTTTCTCCGATGAAAAAACATTCGTTGTCCAGCAGTTTGTAAACAAACAAAATGATCGTGTTTACTTGCCAAAGAGGTCCGGTTGACAACCAGAACTCAAGCGCCGGCCATGGTGATGGTGTGGGCAGCCATAAGAGCCGATGGTCGCTCTCCGCTCGTATTAATCGACCGTGACATCTGAATAAATGCAGAATATTATCGCGAAAATATTCTGGAGGGACACGCAAACATTTTGGCCGCAGACCTTGGACATTCCAACAGGACTCAGCACCATGAAGTTCCTCGCTTCATTTTCAGCGCACAATGGCCAAAATCTTCGTATGCCAATCCGTAAGACTATTGTGTCTGGAGTATTTTGGAAAGCAAGGTTGGCACTAAAAAATACCAAAGTGTTGATCAGCTCAAGCAAGCGCTTCGCAGGGAATGGGCTTAAATACTGCAGATCAACATTCGGCAGCGTGTGACGGTTTCATTGGCCATTTGAAGGCCATTATTCGTGCCAAAGGTGACCAATTTCCGACATTTTTTGCTTTCATTCAATAAAATTTAAAAAAAAAATTAAAAGTTTTGGCGTTTGACTTTGTAGCAGTTCTTTTATACCACCCTGGATATATATTCATAATCAACATAAAATTCTAAGTACGTCTGTGCGCCCATCTGTCTGTTGAAATCACGATACCACCTTCATTATTTGAAATTGTGCTTTAAAATTTGGCACAACAACACATAATTTACGATTGTTGGTATTAAAAATCCACGTCCACGTTTTCCTATAGCCCCCATATAACGGAACCCCACGTTATTCTGTATTTGTTGGTTTTAATCAAATTTTTTACGGATTTGTCCAAACATTGGCATTTGTAGTTCGTAATGGGTTCTAGCTACGGGGGCGGAACATTGACTATCTAGGTCCACGTTTACCTATAGCACGAATATAAGGGTACCTCTCAACATTCGGTGCTTTGATGACTTTGCCATATTTTTCCATTGATTTGTCTAACAAATGGTATTTGTAGTTCGTAATAGGTTCTAACTCCGGTGGCAAATCAGTGTATATATAATGGTAACTCCCTCTATTCGGTGTTTTGATGATTTTTGCCAAAGTTTCTGCGGATCGCTCTGAAAAATTGAGTTCGTAGTTAATAATGGGTTCTAGCTCCGTTTGATTGAATTTCTAGATCCACTAGTGCCTATAGCGCATATACATATAAGACTAGCAATACATACATACATGTAGTATAAACTGTCCTATATATATTAACGTTTTGGTGTGGCCTCAATGTTACGACTTCTCTCTATGTTTTTTTTTTGAATCTTTGACCGCATTATCCATTCAGATACTTTTGTTTTCTTTACCTAATGGTTCAGTTTATTATAAGTTCGGCTCGGTCGAATTTAATGTTTTTTGTTAGTTATCATATATTTACAACCAAACCAAACCAAATTTTAAAATCCCAGCTTCATCCGTTCACTCTAAACTAAACTGTTCCAAATTTGGTACCCTTTTATACAGTTCGCACACTTAGTACACACTTCCATAGCCACCTTCATACATCAAATCTACGTTCCAACATTGATTCATACACTGAATTTCATCATTTTTATCCGTTCACATAATACCAAATAATACCAGTTTGAAAGATTAGTTACATTTTGGAACTTTTCGCAACCTTGAAGCTGGAATTTCCAAAAACCTTAAGGTATATCTACCTTGCACTTTATCAGTGCCACAGACTCCAAATTTCAGAATTCTAGGTCATTCTGTTTCTCAAAAACAAAGTTTTTAATTGTTAGTACATTTTGGTACATCTCGAACGCTTTTAGTCAGAATTACAAAAAAAAAAAAAAAAAAAAAAAAAAAAAAAACAGCATTATAACACGCCTATGCACCAGTACCGAGCCTCTAGCAAAGTTTCAAGATTCTAGCTTCAGCCGTTAGTCAGTTATTTCACTACTCTTTTACATACGAATATATAGATTTTACAAAATATTATAAAAAAAATAAACAAGTAAAACAGCAGTAAGTTCGGCCGGGCCGAACTTCGATTACCATCCACCATTTGGAACGAATTTGGCAATTCTCAAAAACAACAAAATCAGTTAAAAATTCAGTAAAAATCTTAGAAATACCGAATGTAGCTGTTATATTAGGGTCAATACGACGACATGGACCTGCATAGGTAACGTTTGTCACAAGCAATTACAATATTCAAATGCGAAACTTAGAAAAAATCGGCGAATAATGTAAAATGCCGAATATCGGGAGATACCGTTATATGGGGGCTATACAAAGTCGTAGATAATTTTCTGTCGTAGGCTGTAGTATCCATTACGAACATCAAATACCAAATTTGAAATAGTTCCGGTAAATAATGTCGCTAAAATCATCAAAATACCGAATATCGGGGGTACCGTTATACGGGGGCTATACGAAGGCGTGAACCTGCACAGACAATCTTCTGTCTTAGGCGGTAGTATCCATTACGAAATAATGGTAAATAATGTCGCTAAAATTATCGAAATACCGAATATCAAGCTGTACCTTTATATTGGGGATATACGAAGACGTGAACCTATATGGCTCATTTTCTGTCTTAGACTGTAGTATCCAGTACGAACTTAACGAACAAATACCAAGTTTGAAACTATTTCGATGGATAATGTCGCTTAAATCATCAGAATACCGAATATCCGGAGGTGCCGTTAAATGGGGGCTATACCAAAACGTGCACCTACATGACCATTTTCAATACCAAAAGTCCTGCAGACATAATACACATTTCAGTAAATTTTTATCAAGGTTTTAGTACATCAAACTTTTTTATTATTTTGATTTAGTCAATATTTTGATTTTGAAATAGAAAAAATGTTTCCAACCCCTATAATACCAATACAGTTCCGCCAGAAAACACATTAAAATAAATGCCAGCATTATTGCAAATAGTGGAATTATCAGTTGCATATCCTCTAATTTCATTGCAGTAAATTTAAATTTCTGGCTGGTATCGCTTAAAGGCATTTGCTTCCTTTTTACGGCTTCCCAAAAAGCCATTGACTTCCAGTAGTTGATAATACCACCATTGCTGAGACGTCCGATCATTGTGTCTATGGCATTTTTATAAGGCGAATTAGCTTGAAGAGGTATTGCCATGCCCATAGTTTTGACTAAACAAATATTGGATATTCGAAATTTTGGCATTTGAAAATAACGTTGCTGCTCTTCGTAGATTACCCAACGATCGAAGGGCACGCTGTAGGCATAACGGGAATCAAATCCGTCACGACGTCGAAAAAATTCAAGGGGTTCCATTATTTGACTAACACTTTGAAATTCATCAAAAATACCTTGAGATTTTAAAATATCCACTTCATCTTGAACAATGCCAAATTTCAAATTTGCTTTTTCCATGTCTGCCACAGTTCGTATGGCTTTTTCTGTGGTTGGTGTGGCCTTTAGTGTTTGCAGCTGTGTTACAAAAGCAGTATTGAATATTAGACCTTGTAGGAAAATTAAAGAATACAGAAACATTTGAATTGTCAATGGGTTTGGTTGCATTGGAAATGGTTGGCCTAACAGGCCGTTGAAAACATAGATGTTGAGAATGATGTTGCGTGGCGAAAATCGACGGCATGACGTTATTTCCAAAAGCATGGAGAATACAAACAGGAACCCCAGCATTGCAAGTATAATTTTCTTTTCGAAAGCTATAGCATAGAAGTTGTATGAGCCTAACGGCTGTTCCATGGGTAACATCAGACACCAATCCAAAAAATTATAGGTTACACTGAAATCCGTGTTTGTTTGAAATATATCCAACGAAAGTTCGGCCAGCATTTCATAGGTTTGGTTTTCCAGAAGCTTGTGTAAATCTTTACTTATGTAAAAGAATTGAACTCTCTCCCCTCTATTTGGCTTTCGTAATGTGGCGTTGTGTTGACGTGCGAATTCCGTAAACAGCAATCCCAAATATCCACCTAAATGAACATGGGTTTCACAGGTTTTTGAAATATACGATCGGTAGTTCGGTTGCTTTATACCAACATTCAGTTGATATCCATGCAAATTTTTCACTGGATCAGGATAAAATTCAAAAGCCGATATATTTTCAATGATCATCCTCTTCATCTCAAAATTAGGATAAATTTGTGGAACGAATATCTCTCGAAACTCCACAAACGATTCCTTAATTACCATCATGTTTAGGGCTTTATTTACAACGCTGAATTTTAATATAATTCGTATAGTCATTACTCTCATTACGCTTAGCATCTCGAAACTCCACAAACGATTCCTTAATTACCATCATGTTTAGGGCTTTATTTACAACGCTGAATTTTAATATAATTCGTATAGTCATTACTCTCATTACGCTTAGCAATTAATAGAAATTTGCTTAAGAAGATTCTCTTCATTTGTTGCCAAACAGATTTCAGCACTTGCTTATCCATAGCTTCTATACCGCTCAGAGCAACTATAACGAATTGATATAGATTGCTTATAATCGGATTTTTCACATCACTATTTCCTCTGATATTTATTATCGGCATTTCCAAATTTTCCATTAATATCGTCCATAAGAAATCTGATTCCAAGTCCCAGTCATGCCTTCCCAGAATTAACAAATGAAAATTACTTTGCTTCTTTATGGCTTTTGTAAGTTCCGCTAAACTCTGGCCATAATCGCTTTTATATGTGGACATTTCCATAAATGTAAGCAGGAGAGAAACGTTCGTGGCCATTGACATTGTAACACTAACAGCTGAAGGTTAAAAGCTTTTACAGTTCAAGTTCAGTTGTTTTAGATTGATTTAATTTCTTTAATTTTTGTAATGCAGGTTATGACATATTAATAGAACGATATAATCAATGCAATTTCACCTAACATTTAAAATGGGGCAGTTCACCTAACATTTAAAATGGGGCATTATAGGAACAAAGTATTTTTATTGGCAAGACATACTAGCAAGCAATATGGAATTAAACTACAATTATATCATGGTCAACGAATAATAAAGGAATGGTTTATCAACTACTTTGCCTAAAAATAAACAAGTAGCTGTGTATATTCCGCAATATGTACGTATAAAATATATTGTTATACATCGTCATCTAACATCATATCATTATAGAAATGATTAGAATGACGTGTGGGCAGAGGAACTGACCCTGTGAAATCCTATAACACTTAACGTGCACATGAACCTTGGACATAGATCCATCGGTTGACTCCTTCTGGTACCTTCTCCACAAATGTTCAAAATTTTGAATAATTACAACTATTTTATATAAAGTGACTCCTCAAATGTTGCTCAGTCAAATATTCCTGTCAAGGGAAGATGTAGGGCAAGGTTGGGCCACATTGGTCCTTCTTATGGTAGCTCCCCCACAAAAATGTAAAAAAGTAAGCAGAGGCTATAGTCGTGCGTGGCCGACCATGTGATACCCTACAACGCTACAATATGTTGGAAGCCCCGTATGTCCAAATCCATTCCGTTGTGGTCCTTTTACAGCTAAATATAATCCAATGGCCATCCAAACTCTCAACACATAGTGTTAGGAAAATTCAGAATTCAAAATTGTAATTCAAGTTGGGAAAATAGCATGCAATACTAAGTTAAAAAGAAGTAAGTTCCGGTCCGAACTTTAAAAACCCTCCACCATTTGGAACAAATTTGGAAATTTTCAAATATATAACCCGATAAAAGTTATTTTTTTAATTTTAAAAATACCGTTATATTGGGGTATATATGACGTGGACGTGTTTGTCATAAGCCATTACCATATTCAAATTCGAAACGTGAAATAAACAGTGAATAATGTAGCTAAAATCATCAAAATTCCGTACATAGGGAGGTACCGTTATATCGGAGCTATAAGAAGACTTGGACCTGCATAGACAACTCTCTTTCACACGCTGTAGCATCCATTACGAACTTCAAATACATCTTAAAAAATTTCGGTGAGTATTGTACCTAAAATCGCCAAAATAACGAATATAGGGAGGTACTGATGTACAGTTTGTCATAGACGGTAGTTCCCATTACGAACTCTAATTAAGTAATTTGAAACTACTCTGGCGAATAATGACGCTAAAATTATCAAAATACCGAATACCGCGTGGGGGGGGGGTGTGGTTACCGTTATATGGGGGCTATGCGAAGACGTGGACCTGCACAGACAATTTTCTGTCTTAGGCTTTAGCATCCATTTGGAACTTCCAATACCAAATTTGAAATAATTCCGGTGAATAATGTAGCTGAAATCATAAAAATACCGAATATCGTTATATGGAGGCTATATGAAAACATGCAACTACATGGTTGCATGTGATTACAACAGACACACAGACGGACATCGCTAAATCGACTGAGAATTTTACGCTGATCAAGAATAAATATACTTTGTTGGTCTGACATGAGTATTTCGGGGAGTTACAAACGGAATGACAAAGTTAATATACCCTTCATAGTATGGTGGAGGGTATAAAAAGTATGACAAAAATATTTACTTTTTTATCTTCTATATATATAAAAATCAATTTATGTTCGTTGGTAATGGAATCAGTTGTGAACGGCTGAACCGATTTGCATAATTTTTTGTACAAACCTTCGTCATACCCCGAGTTAGGTTTTTAAAGAACAAAATATTGACCACGTCTACTTTTACACCCACTATTTCGATTTATCTAAAATCCTTATATTTGCCAAATAATGAAGACATCGGGTTTAAAATTATTACACGACATATTAGTACTTATTTGGGGGCTGAGGAACTGACCACGCCTACTGTTTGATCTATATATAAACCAATTGTTATTCGTTGGTAGTTGAATAAGTTGAGACCGGCGGAAAGTATTTGGAAATTTTTTTTTTTTAAATGTTCGTCCTAACCCGATTTAGGTTTTTATGCAAAGAAAAAGTGACCACGCCCAATTTTGCGCCCATTTTTCGATTTATCGAAAATCTTAATATTTGTCAAAATCATGAAGATATCTGTTCCACAGTTAGTATACGTAATCTTGACTCTCTCCCCCCCAACCCTAGGTATCTGTTTGTGGTCAGAGGAACTGGCCACACCTACTTCTTTAAATTTATATGTAAAAAATTTGAAAAAGTATAGTATAGTAAAGTCAGTAGTTACACTGCGCCGCAGACAATCTTGAAGTTAGGAATTTTTTCCCAAAAGAAGGGTTCCCGGATCTAACTTGTGCCGGTTACATAAGTCAGATCTGTGCTTTAAAAAATATGCATTAAAGGCTGAAAGTACGGGCCAGCTAGTTGTCATATATATTTTCGATTTTTTAAATGTTATCCTCTTCTGGTAAGAGACCATCCCGAATTAATGAGAACTGTGAAAATCAATCCAAAGGTTCTTGACTTATAAGCGGAATAACTAAGACATATTTCTTTTATGTATGTATTATATTTCTTTTGCTATATATCCGATATCTTGGGTAACAGCATCACTGTAATGCTCAGAAGTAATATTTTAATATATTTCTGGGTTTACAAAATACGTGGTTTAGAGGAAATGTTCGTATTTTTTAACATAAAAGTTATGATCTATTTTACCCGCTAAATATTGTCTGTCTAAATTGATAGGCTCCGCCCCTTAGCATTAACTCCATGCAAAATTCCGCGTTTGTCCTGTAGAGCAAAAGCAAAATCAAGATTTTTTTTCTGTTTTTGGTCCATCTCAACCCCTAAATCGATCATCTCCAAAAAGAATGGGCTTCTATTTTGACCCTAAACCTACACCCATTTCAACGAGGACGGGGACATAATTGTCACCTGTAGTGTGATTACAAATTAACATGGACATACACACCTAGATCGACTTAGCTCGGCGAGATAGGAAGATCTATATATAGTTTATATTTTACATAATTATTATCCCAATCAAAGTTATAATACCCCCAACACAAAAAATATGTCGGCTTCAGTTCCTATTGTATCTATGTGTATAAAAGAGTATTGTGATGAGTGACAGCCTAATTTTGGCGAACCGGCTAAAGTTAAAATCTTGAAAGTTTGCAAATATTGGTCAATATTGGTATGTAGATAAAATAAATGTGATTTAGTGATGTCTGTCTGTTTTTCCGCCCGTCTGTTGAAATCACGATAGAGTACCCATTTTTATACCCTACACAACAAGGTGGAGAAGGAAGCGAGATAGACCCAAAGTCACTTTTGAGGATCTCCATAGAATCACTTTCTGAGTTGATTTATGCATGTCAGTCCGTCTGTCCGTCCGTCCGTCTGTCCATGTATTCTTGTGAACAAAATGCAGGACGCATTTTTTATCCGATTGAGATGAAATTATCCAAACAACATTTGTTTGGCCCAAGGACGAAGCCTATTGAAATTGGAGATAATCGGCAAAAATTTAGATATAGCTCCCATATATATCTTCGTCCCATTTGCTTTTTATTGTACACCAAACGTGTAATATCAGCCCGAATAGTATGGAATTTTGCACATACAACCAAATTAGGCCTGAACATAAGTATGCCAAATTTGATCGAAATCGGTTCAGATATAGCTATAGCTCCCATATATATTTTTCATCCGATTTGTTATTTTTGTCCTTCTCAGACATAATATGCAATACAGCTCAGAAATACCTTTGCCAAATTTTATCGAGATCGGATCAGATTTGGATATAGCTCCCATATATAACTTCGTCCGATTTACCTTTTATTGTGCACCAAGCGTCTAATATTTGCCCAAATGGGATGGAATTTGGCACATACGACCGAATTGAGTCTAGTATGCCAAATTTGGTGAAGATCGGTTCAGATATAGCTATAGCTTCCATATATATTGTTCATCCGATTTGTTGTATTTGTTACCCACAGCCGTAATATGCACCCCGTAAAAACGATATTCAGGGAAATATATCAAATACAGCTCAGAAATATCTTTGCCAAATTTTATCGAGATCGGTTCAGATTTGGATATAGCTCCCGTATTTATATCTATATCTGATTTCAAATTAATTTTGCACCAAATGGGCAATACAAGTCCGAATTTAAAAGATACAAATGCTTCGGCATATTTGGTCCTTTCAACTTTAAATTATAATTATAATCATAGCGTGTATGATTGAATTCTATA